GCCACCAGTCGCTGTGGTGTGAATCTTAAACCCCGTCTCAGGATGTCCACATTTTCTAAATCTATCCTATGCCCAGTGTCTAGAGCATGCCCTGCCATTGCTGAATCTTTGACTAACGCCTGGTATTCATCTGCGTTTCACGGTGGGTTGTTGATGGAACGCTTATGCTCACCGATTCTGGTGTGCAATTCCCTGGCTGTCTGACCTATATAAACCTTCGTACAGTCGTTACATTTTATTTTGTATACACAGTTCCTAGTCCTGTCAACCGGAAGGCGACCCTTTAAATGCACCGTTTTTATTTTACAGGATGGATAGCATAGTCCACACAGAGCGAAAATTTGCGCCGTAGGAGAGAGATCTAGAATTCACGAAAGTCAGTAGAAAAGTGGTTACTTCCGAGAAGCCTTTTCTGCACTTGCCGAACGGAACTTGTCAGTAAGTTGAACGCTAAACTTTTGCAATTGTCGCCATTTGAAAGTAGACTTCTAATCCTTACATGACATTTTGCACAAGAAGACAGATCCATCGAGACTAATGTTTTCTCTTTTTTTCCATTCTCTATTCTTACATTTAAAAGCTACTATGACCAGTATAGATGTCCTGCAATCTGGAGGAAGCGGGCTACAAAGATATTGCCAAGGTTTTCAAACATGAAGTCACTAATCCATCAGAAGCCAACAACTCAGACCTTGGCTCCCTCAGGCACTAGTTGCAAGTTAGCGGTACTTCTGGTTATCCAACGCGCAACAATTGATCATCAGTGTATGAGGTACAGTGCAAACCAGTTTGTGAAACCCGGGGAGACGGCGGTACTACCACGAAGGTGTGTTTGACCATTGAGAGTAAACGCAGTACTTTTCAGATTTAAGACGCTACTCAAAAGGTTGCTGAAAACCCTTTGACAGCCCATGCGACCTGTTTCGCCCTTCTTGGGGCTCAGCAGGTAGCGCGACCCCTGAGGAGACCACCATAAACGAGAGCTTGAGCTGGATTCAGTTGAGTTTCCTATGAAAGACATATTCGTGTGCAACAAATAATAGTACTTGTCATAAACACAGTAAACTTCCATAAAACGGGAACCTTTCTCCACCAATAACTGTTTCTTCTGGTGATATCAGGTTCCACTAAACGTTTAGCAAGTCTTCAATCAATTGGAAAAAGTTTGGAACCGATTGAGAAGTCATCATTTCAGAAGAGCTTGGTAAACAATCGGTAGTTTTTATTTGGGCAACGTTTCGCTTTTGACACAAAAGCTTCATCAGGCCAAGTTTAGCAAGTCTGTTTGACCAAATAAAGCTGAATCATATTGAGGTACGTGAAAAACGTGGGTATCGAAAAAACTCCGTTGTCTTTATTAAAGCCTTGACCCAAGCAACAGTAACTTGACTACCAGTGTGTGGGTGCTCGATTATGCACCTTGTCAAAAATGAGAAGAAACTTCGACTTAAACAGGCGGAGCACATTAGGGTTAGGATGCAGCTGCGTATGAGTTGAACCGTTCCACCACGATCGAAACTTGCCTCAGCGATAAGCCGTCATTTATGTGAAAGTGGAAATAGTGTCAACCAGGCAGCCGCGTTCCACACTATGCACAGAATCACGATCTGTAAAGTGAGACACTGCTATCAGATGGAAACTGAAGCTGTGTAAGCAGAGGGAATCGGTCACATCATTGGCGTTCTCCCAGTGATTGACTTGGTTTCAACATCCCGATGGTGAAGCCTATTGTTCCGTTTTTGGTTATTCACCTGACATCGTTCTGTAGTATAAACCCGAAGAAATACAGTGAAATACACCCGGTTCATCGTGCAACAGCTTATTCCTTCGTATTCGTGAAAAAACAGAGCAAAGTCAGGCCATGGCTTTGAAGTCTGACCGGATGTTTAAACAGCCTGAGGGTTCACGAACGGCGAAGTCAGCTGCATGTTAGAACAAGTTCCATACTAAGATAGAAATATATGTCCAAACTGGAGAACACATTTTGTTATTATTGTGGTTCACCAAAAAGGACTCATCGTATTTTGATAGCTTCAAAGCCCATACTTAACTTCAGAAACAACTAGTCTACCCACCCAATTGATTCTTCGAATACCTTCCGCGAAAAAAGTTGGGAATCAATTTCCACAAGGGAACGACACATATCAAACCGAACAAATCACTTCATACCGAGGATACAGATAACAGCCCTTCGAAACTTCGAGTGCTTTTCGTCGTGTAAAGGAGCAAAAAGACGGGGATTACACCGGAGGACCGATCAGTATGCGGACAGGTTGGATTACAAATAACGGTCCTCAGGTTCTCATCACATCAAATACATCCAAGTCTTGTCAACTCACAAGTATCACTGGCTAAAGCTAAATCAGCAGTCGAATAGCCAGATGGGACATAGTGGGTGATCAGCATTATCGCCAACCTATGACCAAACTCAATAAACTCATCATCACCATCAGGAATAGCGACACGTGTTGACACTTGTACTTCACTGGCGTACAACCACTAAGTTTAAAGCTTTAGAATGAAAAACGAGAGAGTGGGTGAGTAAGGAGACCTAGTGCTGGCCTACCGTAGGCATTATGAAGTGCCTACACTTCCAACCGCTCAGTCATACGAACGGGAAAGAAACTGACAACACGAAAGCCACTAACACCAACCAGCCGCCATTTCTTTCAATGTCTCCAGCCAAGCGCAGGAGGGATCGCAGCGTACTGAACTTAATTCTTCGTAATCTCCTTCATACCCCTCTGCCAAGTCGCTTTTTTGGCCATTCTGAAGGAGGCACAGAAAATAACACTTGTCTCGACATGCGCAGCACATGGCCGAGCCACCGCAGTTGATGTTTTCCGCGATTGAAGTGCATGCCGCAAAACCAAATACCCTTTTCTAACTATATAGTTACGAATTCGTTGACGCTAACCGATACCAAGTATCGGTGGTAAAAAAACTGAAGACGCCTCAGATCATGTGTCTGCAGGAGCCATACAACACAGTCCTAACTGTAGCCTAGTACACGCAACCCTCGAGACTCAGTGATATGCCATGTTGACGCCATAGGTGACGCAAACTAGCAATTGTGCGATGACTTATTAGACACATTCCGTCAGAGCTAATACAACTGCGAGGTACATACAATTCTCCACAACCTGCAGTGATCCTCCCAGAATTGTAAGAGGTTATGAAGCATGACTTGGCACTTTGGAGGTGTAAAGCGCATGCACCCCTATTCGATGTGGCATGCATCAGGTCATCATCATCATCGACAGCATGACATCAGTGTTCAACACCGATGCTTCACTGCTGTATGGTCGTACGAGGGCTGGGATTCTGCCAGGGCGCCCACACCTAGACAGGAGGACGATTAGGGTCCTCAACCAAAGCCTTTGGCTCAAAAGCCTAGCCGCAAGGCAGCGGTGTTTGGCGGGAGATGCAAGCACATTACCATTTTTACGGAACAAGTCGCCACATGTTCCAACTCCCGACCTGGAAGGCCAGAAGACTGTTTGTCAGACCTCTAAACATTGACCAACCTGGTATGAGAGACTCTGTGAGTGTCACGGGGACACTCACCAACGGATCGCTGAGGTGCGCAAACCGTCACACCAAGGTAAGGTCCAGTCTCTTCGTGACGGCATGCATCAGGCGTGGGAAATAGGCGCCTTCCGTTCGGAAAATCGTTGGAACTTTATGCTCAGAATGTTTCTACGGATACATTGGTCGTCACCTTTCTTATTTCTACCAACTTCCGGCCACCAACATGTGGAGTCACGCAAGGCTCAGTCCAGATGGGTCACTGGCAAACAACCTCTTTTCAGGTATCCATCAGTGGAGCGATTGCAACAACTGCAAGATGTATGCCACTTAAAGCAAACTAACTAACTTCCGACAGTGCACAGAAGTGTTCAGAATTCACTGGGCGGGTCGATAGTACTTCAGCTGTTGCGCTTTCAACAAGTCGTGCAGTAGCTTTGTCATGAGGCGCCGCAGGTGAACGGATACATCTTTTCCGATTAGACTAAGAGATGCGCTACAGTCAAGCAGGAGGAGTAGATGACGGGGGCGAAGAATTTATTTGACAATTAGACAGAATCCATGTGGTAAAATCAGAGAATGGATGGCTGACAGGCAAAACAAGAGGAGCAACATAGATGAACATTCTTTTCGTTCACACAAAAAGTTCACAGCAAGACCAAAAAGTATAACCATGAAAGAAGAACGATGCGTATAGGAAAGCCCACAGGTGCGAATAAGGGTTTTGTAGCTCCAAACTGATGCTTATGAAGAGAGTTGCTCGGCCACAAGTTGCTTAGGAATTCAGAAGACGAAAAGCAGTTGAAAGACGCCATGATTTGATAGGTTCGCAAGCACCAGACCTCAAGCACGAGATGTAGAACAGAATTCACCGGGCGGCTGGATATATCCCACTCACCGAGTAGTAGGTTTGCTGAGGAAACGCAGTGTTGGGTATGAAGTGAGAGGTTTGTTGACCCTGTTTGGAGGGCGCTAGATGAGTGGCTGGTGTTGGTGTGCTACTCGAGGGATGTGTCAATTGCATGGTTGTACGTGGGATATTGAAGGAAGCGGGACCGAAGTTTGCAGCAGATGTTGTCTGGACGGACGGATGATCGCAACCTGTGTAAGGTATTTGTGCGACCTGGGTGGTCGCTTCCGCAGAGTGCTCATCGTCAGAGATGTCCTCCAGCTGTCAAAAAAAGGAATAGTGCGGTTGTTATACCACCGTTCAGTACATCACCGGTTGCAGTAATGTAGCAAGGCATCACAGAGTCCAAATATACCTGAGAAATGAGATCAATCCAGAGGCAAGGGGGAGGCGAACAATACTGGATGTCTAAAGTTTGTAATACACAGCTAGATGCCTTCAAACATATGCAGGCCTGTCAAACTGTGTTATCCCAGCTGAAAGCCGTCCGCTTAGCAATATAGTGGGCAGGTGAAGATCCTCACATACTACCGCTATGCGTTTCTATCAGGCGAAAGATTCATTGTTAGAGACTTCTGCTAAAAACAGTGAGCAGAATAGGCCTAAAATGTGCGTGGAATCGACAACTAGATTTAACTAGTCAACTAATCACTGCGAGCTGTTTTCTTCATTGTTTGGATGAAAGACGGTATGTCAACCGGAACGACAAGCTCGCAACGGTTCCTACAGGTCACGCGATGCCAATACCTTACTACCTTTGGGGACGATCTGTTGATCGAGCGGAGCACTCTAGAAGAGTCGAAAATACAGGTGTCGGTGATCGCACAGACCTTCACGATCGGATCCATAAAGAAATCGCAACAGTGCTGAGGTTGAACCTCTTAGCTTGTAACCCGCAAATCGATTGAACTCAGACAGACGGTTGTCATAGCAAGTATAATGTCGTTCTCAAAAATATCTTTCAGCTGTAGCACCCTTTCGGTGCCTAACTGTCATGCCACCCGAAGGTTGCACGAGGGCTGAGATACTGTCAGATTGTCCAAGCCTAAACAGGGGAAGCCGAAAGGCAGAGGTCAGGTTCGAACCATGGACCTTCCGGTTAGTAAACTCGCGCTCTAACCACTTCGGACATCGCGCACTCCCGTTCTCAATCCGTTAAGGCTCCATTCGTATGTTTTCGACATAAGCGGAGAAATGATTTGGTTTCACGTCAGCACATGCTGGCAGTATTTATAGAGTAGAGATGTGAAACACCCGGGGTTGCACGCGCCAGTTTGGATGACCCCCATGCTAACATTGATTTCACATTGTACTGGCTTAGGGATCTCAGCGAAACACTCCAAGTTTCCTAGTGATAAAGTCTTCAGTTTTCTATGAAAGCACTTAAACACCTGCATGTCTAGGCGTGTTTAGTCTGTCTACTATGGACTATCTACTACTCACTGTCGGCTGCCTAGCTGCCATGCCACACGAAGGAAGCATGAAGGCTGGTATCCTGCCAGGTTGTTGCCCAAGCCAAAACAGAAGTCAAGATGCAGAGGTCTGGTTCGAACCACGGACCCTCCAGTCAGTCGATTCACGCTCTACTATGGACTGGTTACCGTCAAATTCTTCGGCTGAAAAACCGCGGACTTGTACAGTGGTTAGAGCTGCCGCCGACGACCTAGGAAGGTAGGTGTGGATAGCTGCGCATTGGAAGGGGTGGTCGATATAACTGATGTGTGAATACAGAGGTGTTCGTGAACTTGTCACTCAAGAGATCGAGGGGAAAGCTATAAATTGACAACTACGATGCATGCACGTCATTGGGCGGTCGACTGTGTCATTTTGACAAGGTCTGTTACCATTGATGTATCCCTTCACGAGGTCCCCACCTAGGGAGACGCTAATGACCAGCGCAGCTGAGTTTGCTGATTTCGACTTTTATGGTTCCCTGACAAGTCATTGTTTGACCTTCTCTGGCTCGGTTTCACCCTTCGCATGGTCGTACAAAAAGGGCTCTTAGAGGAAGTCGGTCGACTGGCATACGTGACAAAACCGGCGCAGCCTATGGGGTGTGATCGTTCATCTATCGTGGGCGGGTTATTTGTTCCGAAAACCATTACCGATCTGATGTTCCCTCCAAACTGGGGAGATGCTCCAAAGACTGACGATCAAGCATTGGAAGTTTTTTTCCAACTAATCAGGGTTATAGAATGACGGACAAGTACCCAAAACGTCAAGCTTACGCTGCCACCCAAATTACGGACCATCCGTTTTAGCCGCGTCAACTTGACATCCTGATCGTGGAGAAGCAGGAGCAGATCGTCGTGCATTGACTTCAGTTCCTCTTTTTCCCGTACACTCTGGTTGAGCTTCTCCTCGAGTAACTACAAAAAATAGAGGCGTAATGTCACACAACAGGGCCGAAAAAGAACGTCGCACAGACACGGTACACTAAAAAATCAGAGAACGCTTCCGTGCATAAGCATGAAATGTGACAAGAACTTGAGAGGCGTGAATGGAAGGCAAGCGCTCATCGAAAGGAATGCTACTCACACCCGGGTCCTGGGTGTCATTATTCAGTGATACGGAAGAATTCACTGAAGCAAACGCAATGAATTGGTAGGACCCATAAAGATAACCGTTCAGTTGTAACGCCCTTTCGGTGCCTAGCTGCCGCGCCACTCAAAGGAAGCATGAGGTCTGGGATACTGTCAGGTTGCTCAAGCCTGGACAGGGGAAGTCGAGAGGCAGAGCTCGCGTTCGAGCCACGGACCTTCCGGTCAGTAAATTCGCGCTCTAACCACTGAGCCATCCAGCCCCCATAACTAATCAAACGTAACATTTGTTGACCTTGTGAACCCTCAGAATGCATCATCTTTACTAGCCCGCAAGAGTGTGGTTGTGGTACGTAAATAGGTATGTATCGAAGATATCCCTGGCGGTAGCTCCACAGAGCTTTGTTGTAACATCCAATACATAGTACCATCACATCATTCATCAACTTGACAAACGGTGCATTGATGGCCTATCCACTCTAAACACACTGAAGTTGAAATGCGGATCACCTGGCAATAATTGGGCCAGGACCGGTCGATCAGAAATTTACAACTTCTCATGTTCTGTGTTCTGCATCAACGAGTGTTCACGTAAAATTTGAAATAAAGGCACCATACAAAGATGGAAAACTGCTCGCGCCGACATCGGGGTAGACTAAAATATATACGTACTAACCTTGACCTTTTCGTCCACCTCGTTGGGTTTGGACTGAGAAGTGAATGGCTGAAACGCATAACAACGGATATAGTTCAAGATTGTTATAAGTTGAATGGAAAGTGACCAACCGATTGTGAGAAATGCCAAATAACGGCAGTCTCAGTGGAACTACCCTCTCTAGTCAGCAGAAAAAAAACTTCACAAGCTGTTGTATCGTGCGGTGGCCGAGCTATTGGTTACGCCTGCACTGAGCCTGCCAGACTACGCGATAGGGAGAAGACAGAGGAACTGGGGGCACGGCTGTTTGCCAGGACAAAACATACAGAGCGTCTGCGTAAATATATAGGATGACTAATTGGCCAAATATGGTCGTTCACTTGTCCGTTCCGTACAGCCACTGGTGGTGTTCCGGTCGTGAACATTCTCAGGCCCACTACGCTGGTCGTGTGTTGCTAAGCCGTGTTTGGTGGGAGCCGCCAACTCACCTACTTTCCGGACGTGTCGAGCCAATTGTGACCTTGGGAATGCGTCACTCTCTGCATATGTGCTTTCTCTTCTGTCTGGGCGCGCCCTGACACAAGCATGGTACGGTTGGGCGAAACCAACAAGTGCAAATCTTTCGAAAGTATCTCAACAGAACTGCGGAAGATGCTACAGTTGCCTCGGGAACCAAAATCAGTGAACGTCATCAACCCGATCGAGGGCTAAAGTCCGAGGCATCATGTCTAGTCATACCTTGACATACCTTAAAGACACCAATCTTCAGGTTGATATTAACACAGTTATGTACCGTGGCTCACCACACCAATCAAACGGGCACAGACAATAATTGTAAGCCATACGCGAGTTTAAGATAAGGCTTCGCAGCTGTCTCGGCCACATTCTGCGCAACCTGACTCAAACACGCTCAGACCTCGACAAGCACACCTATTCCATTCTGTCCCGTATGTAGTTTTTCTTTTCTCGCCTAGTTTCTTACTCATTTACAGTCCAATTAGCTAAAAATTACACGGTCAGTTGGTGAAATTAACGAAAAAGATACATCCGCCTACCTGTCTATGCTATTAAGGACTCATCAAATTCTTCACTAATTCTAAGAGAATGAGCATAAGGACCGTTTTCAGTGCACTCAGCCTTTCGCTTAGGATGGGCTATGCGGTAAAACCTTTAGCGAAATGAGCAACTGTTGCAAGGAATTTTCTGACAATCAACAGTGGTTAGCCATTTGCCAAACACTTGAGATTATGTGCTGCGTAAGTTCCATGACAACAGCAAGTGAGTGTCATCCCTAACTCAATGATATCCGGTCCCTGAGATCGCCTCGAAACATTTATTCGTCAGGCTGGGACAAACCAGGTAAACTGTTCCTGACAAACCCTAGTTTATGATATGCTCAATACTGGTCGTAAGTTTTAGTCACGCTTCGTCGGAGATAATGGACAACCCACCAAAGTTAGATGTATGATTTGTGCTAGGATGAAGACAACACAATGTATGGCCCTAGACTGTTGCCAACGGAATTCTTGCCGAATGTAGATAGATTGCCGGGGAGGTTTAGCTGTCAAAATGCACAAAATTTTCTCCCAAGACAGCTGCTTACGTTCGGAATGATGATGACCAAATCATCAATGGTGGCTGGTGGTGTATTCGTTGCCAAACTGAAGCACACACGCTGCTCAACAACCCTACTTACTGAGTAAGCTCGTGCGATTGTTCACGTTAAACGCAAGAAATAGCGTTGTCAGCGCAATACACCCATTTGCAAACAAATTTGCTTTTGCGGGAGACTCACATGGAACCCCACTGAATTTCTTGTTTATGATGTTTTTAAGCAGCTAAATGTGCTGCACCGGGCCACCTCTTGTTTCAGTTGGTACGATATTCGAGATATCGCGATACACGTATAGACGAAATACGCCACTCATTTGGGTTCAAATAGAACATAAGCTTGACGGAAACTCGGGGACTGTGCCTATCTGATGAGCTCCAAGAAGGGCGAAACCGGTCGTGGGCTGTCGAAAGATTCTCAACTTTATGAGGAGTGTATTACGTCCATACAAACAGCGTTGTCGCTTATTCGAAGAATCATCATCGTTCTAAAGTGATCAAATCTGCTGTCTTTACAAGTCACAATTTAAAGTCTGAACAGAAGAATAACCGAAAGTAATATGTTGATCAGTTTATTTACTGAACAATGTCCAATGTGGGAGGACTTTGCATTAGGATTTCCATCCTCCGAGCATATCATTTGTTTGGTTTATCCTTCAACGATGAATAGATGCTCATGGGTTTCAGTGGGGAGGGGTCGTGTTCACGAGGAACAGGGTGGCTATCTGGCGATTATGAAGTCCAGCGAAATTTAAAAAACATACATTTGTGTTATACCTAACATCGAGAATCGTACGATAAGCTCTTCGATGTTCCAAATATGGGGTGCCCTCTTTGGGTGGCAGTCAAAACAATGGAGTGGCTTCGAGCGGGCCAGTACCACACCACTTCCCTTGCAGCTTTCACAGTCAGGAGAACCAGTGTGTGATAAGTCCTCGAGAGAGACTAATCCCCTCTGTAGTGATCATTTTCCAAGGGGATTCCTGGATTACTAAACTTGTGTTCTACGACTAGGATGGAAGTGAACCAAATCAAATCAAGAACTGCATTAGTTTAGGCATTATCGTAAGAGGTACAGCGTCACGTATGGACTGATATGAATCCTTGCCAGTAACTTACGCTGAAAGAATGTTCTGATCCGGGAGCTGTGAAAGATGAAAACACGATAACAAAGCATAAGGTTACCAGTAAAATATCTAGAATAATGAAACAGAGTACAAAGTCTATCTAGGCGGAAGGACTAAGTAATTTTAGTCGGGGTTAAGCTTTCTTATGGATGGCCTTATGACTCACAGAAGTCAACACCCAAGGGATAAGATGACGCAACTCTCATAAAAAGACTAACACTATAAAAGATCGCCTAAAAAGTACAACCGAATCGCATCTCCGTCAACGTTACCGAATGATACGACTGTAAGGCCTTTCCTTTCACCACAATTACTGCCGAGTTGGAAATATTTTTCCACTTTTGTCCACGCCTCAGGAACGGTTTATCAAGCTAGATTGACGTTACCAGCTCGTATGACCGTATAGGCCTGGAGCTGCCCACACTTGTGGACACCCGGTTCCCGCACATACAGTGGGGGGGATGAATCAGTGGTTAGGGCGGTTAGAGTGGTTAGAGCTAACGGGAAGATCCATGGTTCGAACCCGACCTCTGCCTCTCGACTTCCCCTGTCAAGGCTTGAGCAATCTGGCAGTACCTCAGCCCTCGTGCTTCATTCTGGTGGCGTGGCAGCTAGGCACCAGAAGGGTGTTTCAGCTGAGCGATTATATTTTACACACAGATTGGACCACAATAACAGGCAACACAACACGAAGTATAGCCGGACATGCGTCAAGTGAAGATTCGCAACCATTCTGGGTCTTCTTATTGCGATCAGCAGCTCTAGTCTTACACGTATTGGGACGCAATTTGGAATTTCCGTGCCCCTCTGAGCACGGCTCACACAATATTCTTTACAGTGTCCACTGTTGAATATCTCTGGATATACTGACAATACTGGTGAGGAATCGAGAGGATTTCTCGTGAATAGGAGGCTCATGTAAAATGGACTGGACACGAAGTTTTTGAATGCGAACTATGGGGAGCCTGAGTCGAATTGGGGGAATCGCACTCATAGACGTTCCAGAGTGGGGAATAAGGTGGCTTAATTCGTAGCGTCCAGTGAAGAAATTCACTGACAAGTGGTATAATGGCCAGATAAAAAGCGTGGTAGATGAGAGTAACTGAGATGACACAAACCAGCGACCTTCATTCAATAAAAATCGTTCACATGTAACTAGTGCCTGGCTTCTATGCCACCCGAAGGAAGCACGAGGGCTGGGACACTAACAGGTTGCCTAGACAGGGGAAGTCGAGAAGCAGAGGGTCGGGTTCGAACACGGACCTTCCGGTCAATAGATTCGCGCTCTAACCACCGAGCCAACTCATTCCCACGCCTTCAATACCATACTCGGGTCTGGTTGGGCAAAAAGACTGATTCAGCCGCCCATACAGAGCCACCTTATTAAATTATTATAAAAATCATCTACTGCGTAATCTAGAGAGAAACCCTCTAGAGGCTGTAAATTCGGTAGGATTCCACGAGGTTTTAACGCACTGATTTCCACTGCGGGATGATGTCACGTATGAGATCTGCCGACGTAAGGTCTTCGTTGGCACCTGGTAGAGAAAACATTGGAAGAGACCCATCAAAATGACTAATTGTGGGAGGTAATCGTTCCTGACACGGCCAGAACCACTGGAAGACACCCCAAGAGACTAACGCAAAGGTTTATCCCTTTAGGGATACAAATGCAACTGCCAGGTGGACATATGAAGATGTTTTGAGGCGAAGTGGGCACTTGGACGTCCACACAGTTCTGAAATGCGGTAAGGGTAGGTGTATAAGTCTCGCCTAAAGGCCCTGAATACAGGGGTTTTTCTCCTCAAGAACACTGAAAACAATCCCCGTTGAAAGTTTATCCCAGACCCAACCTAAAAAAACTGTAGCGAAACAGGCTGGGTTGGTAGAGAAGCCTACTGGTGGTAAAGGTCGAAGGGACTTACAAAATACCGGTGGTTGTGGTTGGGATGTAGAATGATTAGGGACAAGATGGCTTCTGTTCTGCACGGCTGACATCTCAGTTTCCAAAAGCGCCAAACGATTTCGCAAACTATTTAGTTCTGCATCCTTGATGGCCAGCTTTTCCTCGTACGCGGCAATCTGGGATTCGGTCACTCTGGAAGAGGTCCGGTAGGTGTCGGGTTCTCTAGAAGTAGGACCGAATTCGAGGGGTTGGAACAGATGGATGGCCTCGTCTGATGAGCAGGAGAAAAACATTGTGTGGAGACGGTAAATAATCTATCGGCCACGATTGTCCGCGGACAAAGTGACCAAGGATCATAAGGAGGACCCTCATATCAATACTTGAAACTGAGTTATGATCGATTACAATTACTTTATAACAACTAACTCAACAAGACAATAATGTGGCTGACGAGGTGACCAAAGTTGGTCCCGTAAGAGTGAATAGATTATAGGACCGGGTGTTTGGAGATTGTTTAGCTGGTAAAATTCGAGCGAGTTTAGAGTTTTCAGAATTATAGCGGCAAGCGGTTCAAGAAGATAAAGAATGCGGAATCTAAATCAGATTGCTGTCCCATCTGTTCAACTTCCATGAAATTAATCCAAAACAGAGCTGAGAAGCCAGTGTGACTCAACCTTTTTAAAAATACAGGTGTGTATCCAACATGCAGCACCATAAACTAGATCACAGATTGCCGGTGTCCGCCCCAAGGTCTTAGTCAGACAAAGTGCATCTCGGATGACTGTTGCAAAAAGGTAGGAGCTATCTTGAGGGAATGTTCACTGACCTCTCACAGGGGTTTTTCAGTCACAGAAAAACTGGCATTGGTTAATCGGCCACCTAAGACCTTGCTTCACCATTCGGTTGACTGATACAATTTGCGCAAGCAGAGGATAATGCTTACTTGGTTGTCTTAATCTTGTCTGGGTTTTGGCAACCTAGCAGTACCTCAGCCCTCGTGCTTCCTTCGGGCAAAGTGGCAGCAATAAGCCGAAGGAGTGTTACGGCTGAATGACTACTTATTTATTCTTATTAATCGCCTTACTCCCAGTCAGTGAGCACGCGAGTATATTGATATTCGTTACCGATGGATAAATCACCTCGGAATCCAATTCTTGCTAAAGAGCGAGGCACAATGACAAGTTCTGCAGAGAACAGTCAGAGCAAGCCACAAGGTGTTCAACGGTAAAGACGAGTCTTCAGTAAAGCGAAAATGAGTCCGGCGTCCTGCTACTTATCATCTGCTTTTCTGGCAGAGAAAAATCGACGTGGAGTCTAGTGCCGGTGGTATGAGTACAGTGTGAGAGAAGAAGACGGTACAACGAGAGTCGTAATATAAATGATTTTTCAGGCAGTTCGTAGGTTCCTGCAAACAAGGTTGTCCTTACGAGAAGATGTAGTCAGTGTGCTTGGTTATAGTCGATAGGCACGTATGCAATAACGAGCTCCTCGTTTGTCAAAGCAAGGTCAAAGATGGAGGCACATCTCAAGATTTGGTGCTTTTGATTGAGCCCCGAACCGGGAATCAAGGTTGTTTCTTGAAGGCCTCTTATGGTGACGGACAAAAAACGAGGCGGCACCGTGGGGAACATCTCAAGATTTGGTGCGTTGCTTTTGGCCCCCTAACTGGGAATCAAGGTTGTCTCTTGAAGGCCTCTTATGGTGACGGACGTTGTTATAGAAGATGAGTGCGAGAGTCGTGACGGTTTATGGTGATCCTAGGGAGACAGTTCGAATGCGAAAGGTGATAGACTGATGTTGTGGACTAGCAGAAAAGAGCCTGTCCTACTGTTCCGGATTCTACGTTGGTCAAGTATTGTTTTCGCCCCATAACTGCCAAGAAGATAACTGAGACGATGTTGGCTGGGACCTGATTTCCTCTGGTGGATAGTACGTTCCACAGAAGAAGAGACCATAGCAGAAGAGACTAGTAAAGCCTTGTGGAAAAATGATTTGGTGCAGCAATAAATTCAACCAAATCTCTGATTTATAGCGTGCTAAAGTTTTCGATTCGCCGATGGACAGGAAGGGCTGGGTAGTCACGAGATCACTACTGCTAGCCGTGTAATGGTCAGTAGATCGTGTTGCCAAATCTTGTGCCCGCTGCATACCAAAAGGACACAATCTTCCTACTCACTAAGTGGACGGGCGGCGTTCGAATCACTGGTTAGACAATACACTACATCAGTGGTGAAATCACTATTGATGAACTCCGAAAGTCTTCAGCTGCTCACTTAAACAAGGTTACGTCAGGTAGCCCAGACTCGGTCAAATAAACGGGCCTGGATGTATAAACTACACACTGAATTCGTTGAGAAAGTATGCCGCGGTGGTGACTTTTGATATCTGTGAGGTTCCTATCGAGATGGCTACAGACTACTAGTTAATTAAGCATGACATGAACTTATAGAGGTATCGGTGGTTGTGAGTTTCTAGAATTTTCAGTCACATCACTCTTGTTTGAACAGTCGTCCTCCTGCCCTCGTGCAATCACTCTGGTAAGTTCACACCAAAGGGGAAGCAATGGACTCGGAATTCCCTCATCGGATATGCATACCCTTGGTCGTAGATGGGTATGGATTCCGGACATTTGAGCTCACCACCACTACCACTCGACCAGCGGACGTGGACGTATTCCAATAATGACGCCTCAACAGCTCCCAAACATCTGTGAGGCTGCCTGACTAGGAAGTCCTGACAGGTGGTAGGCCAATGGATCGACAGAACCAAGACAGTTATGCAAGCTTGATGTTCGAGGCGTTGAGCAGACCAACTACATTACTCAAGTATGAGCATGATCACCTGTTTGAATGCATCCGGCGTGCTCTGTCGGAGCACTCACAGCACGTTCGCCTCGCGTGTCAGGTTTCCTGAACGGTCAAGGATATGCTCTGTTAATGAAAACTAATGAGACAGAAACTTGAGTTCCGTGAAATTCTTGTTTGCTCTAGATTTAACAGAATAATTGCACCAGGATAGGCGAGGGAATTTTCAAACGAAAATAATGTGACCGCAAGTATTACTGTAGCTGCTCTAGCAACAAATGAATCAGTTTGGTGGTAGTGGGAAATTACGAAATTTTAATCGAGGTTTCACTGTGTGAAAGAATGCTGAAAAGTATAGCTTGATTAGATTAGAATATCGATAGGCAACAAGAGGTTCTACAATGATTCAGGAATAAGCACGAGAACTAGTTGATGCAGCTGTGAACACCTTCCAGAAACACTGTACCGATAGGGAGGATGTTACTGGAGTACGCTTACGATGATCACTGTGACCCAAATCGAATCCAGTGTTAGTGAGTCCAATGAAGGCGCGGTATGACAAAAAAGGAATTCGAGATCATTACTTATTAGTAGGTTAAACGTTTGAAAAGAGACGGTCACATTCCGTTTTTTATTCCAGAAAGGAGCTTGAAAACAGTGTTAATGCACCCAATAAAAGCACACTTACACTCAAGACGTTTGAAGAGAAGAGTAAAACTGTAATCGAAGACCAAATCAGAGTTGCAGTGACATTTCAATTCGGGATGCTTTGAAGCCATTGTGAATGATTCTGCCTTAGAGACTTGGCTCAGATACTCAACGATCGTGTCCAAACCAATTCGTCTCTCCAGTGTGTTCTTCAATGTTGCCCTAGAAAAAGATCGAAGGTATTTGAAAAAGGAAAGGGCTGAGAGAATCAAACACAACAAAACTGCAGGAGGGCATATAAGAGTGACTTACAACTCTCCACGTTCTATTTATGGTGAAATAAATAAGTGACCTAGCTAAAAATTGGAAGGCAGGGGCACCTGGGTGGCATATGGGCGATATGACACATGCGCTATCGAGACCAATATTTATAGCTGGTCTGAAGGATATTGCCAAGACTCATTCCTAGCAGAATTTCAGCGAAATAAAGTTCTCCGAAACTTCATCAAGTTTAGCTGGGCATTTAGAGCCTTAGCTACTTGCCACAAAAGCACTTTCAAAGTGGATGCCGCCTCCCGTCCTGATAATCTGTGCAAATACTCCGGAAATAAGGATTAGAAAGAACCTTACACGATTCAGCGTTTGTCCTCAGAGTTCGGGTTCCGGGTCTGGTTGCGTACACTGAAAGCAGTCAGAACTGTCGAACGATTACGAATAAAATGAAATCTACCGGCTTCAATGGGTCAACAGGTACCCGTATTGGAAGTCAGCTGACGTAAAATGGTGTCAGATGCAAAGGCGACTGAGGGCACTTTTATGTAAGAATTTCAACTAGTTCTCACAATACCCATTTTCACTTCAAAGCACCCGACCTTTCCTAAATACCTAGTTGTCATCGCTTCTTTAACTTCACCACACCGATCTGAACCACACACATTCGATGTATGAACAAGACGTTTCAGTCACAAACGCTGATCCCACCACCTACGACTTTGTTCAGGGGGGGGGGGATAAAAAATAAATGTCTGATCAAGATACATGCATCACGCAGTGGAAATGACAGGAGGCCGCGCACATAGCTTTAGTTCTTACGCAAATGCACGCTCTGAATTATTTTCCGGGCACAGAGACTTCCAACTTGCCTCGGTTGAAAGGTCGCTGGAGCCAAACTCCAGCCACTGCGGAAAAGCTATTTGGCTACCATTCTATATTTAATCACCATGCAACATCAGACGATGCGTCTGATGCGTCCAATGTGCTGAACAAGTAGAATGAAGATGTAGCTAACACCTAGCAGTTTATAAGCCTGCATCTCTCTCTCCGTCAAGGGATCACGCCTTAGTATGTGTATTTTCATGAATAGAAACGCCTTAATCTAACCACTAGCAGAGGCTTGACTGTGTTCTATTCAGACTGAATTCCTTGATTAAACCTCTACGAAAGTACCGCATCGTCATTTCTCCTACCTGTCAAATCTGTTTCGATTTGCATTCGGGGTGCATGGGACTCGACCAAGACAAAGGGACTAACTAAGCACCGGTCCAAAGTTTCTGTATGTAGGTGAATAATCCAGAAGATTTGCTCAGCTTCACTTCAAACCGTAAAAATCCTCGGGTGTACATTAGAACAAACGCCATTCGCAAATCAGGATTTTCAGACTGCGAATTCCACGGAACATGCCATGATGTCGAAACAAGAAGACTTAGGGATGTGCTACAGCGGTTCGATCTCGAGGTGGATCAGAAGTTAAGGCGTGAATTTATTAACTGCAAAAGGCGTGGTTCGAAGCTAACATCTTTATCTCGGCTGCCCCTGTACAGGCAAGGGCAACATGGCAGTATTTTTGCCCCTGTATTTCCTTCGGGTGGCATGGCGACTAGACACCGAAAGGGTGCTACAACTGAGCAACCATTAGTATCGCTACAGAGGTTCCAACAGAAACAGTTGGCCACCAACTGTTAGCCAACGTGGAGTAGTACCCATTGCGTCACAATCACCATTGTTATCCTGGCCGCAAGTAGACAGTGCCTTCGTTCAACATATGTAGAAAAATCGCGTAGCAACTAAATCTAAGAGGGAATAAGTGGATATTGGTAGAGGGTCATCCAGTTAGCGTTTCTAGCATCATCACCATCATCATCGACAGCATGACATCAGTGTCCAACACGGATGCTTCACTGCCGTACAAAAGCCTTATGGTAAAGAAAAGAATAAAGATGGAAGGGGGCAGGGACTTAGTGCTAGCTCATTATAGTCATTCCGAGGTGCCTACACCTCCAGACATTCACTCAGGCAATCTGGAATCTGGATAAAACTGAAAAACAATAAACCACTGGTATCGGTTGGAAGCCATATCTTGAAGTGTTTCAACCACAACATCCAAGCACAGAATCAAAAATCCATAACAAGAAACATGCTTATGTGCGTCAAGAAAATTCATTACAAACAGCATGCTGAACTGAGATGTTTTTATGACAGCCAAATCGATGGACAAAATCGCACGCACTATGGCGGTGGTGCACGAACACACTGAGATCAATGTGTAAACACCCAAAATTGTTATGAGCAACACACCTGTCAAATCCGACTACGTCACCAGGGTTGTAGATGATACAAATGCAAGCGAGTAAGGTAATGAGACCTCTGACTAGTATATCTTCCTCTTCATCTCCCAATGTCGCGGCTTCAGCTAATAACATGGACCAGTTTGACCCACGCACAGACTTTGTACCGGACTTCGGATCCGCGGAAGCTGCGTTTATTGCAGTCACAGAGGAGTTTGAGTCATTCTCAGAAGGACCGGAGAGAAAACAGTGGATAGCTTCTGGACAGTAGGCTAACCAGGAACACAAGAACTGCAGCATGCCTATTCGGGCCTGAAATCGATTACTCTGGAACGGTATGTAGGGAAGAAAAGAGAAGTTAGGATTAGTCTGAGTGAGTGGGATTACACCACACTACGAACCCAAGTGCGTAAACAAGAAACAACACGTAAAGTACACCGGAGACGAACTGAGAATGTGAATTTATCGGGAGAAGCGATAAAATTACCTTTTCAAAACACAATAGGCAATGTTGTAATAGGCGGATGGAGCTACCGTCAGGAGCAAGGGCCATCTGGAAACGAAGCAGTTCCTCCTTCAGTTGGGGGTTGTCCAGAATGCAGTGTGATAGCGCGATTGCTGAGAACCATACAGACAGAACCTCGTCGGAAAAAAGTCCACCAAACAAAAGTTGGCCCATGGAGATTGGTTCCGAACCTTGAGTAGTGGAGTGGAGAAGAAATGGACAACTGAGGCAATCCAACCGGCCCATTTCCCGAAAACATTTGTAGACGCTTCCAACTACTTACAAGTAACTAAAAATGAATGTCTTCGTGCACCGGTGACCGGATGTCAGTGCTTGCCCAGCGTGCTCTGATTGTGATTTACCCAGAACGTCTCTATTGAAGCTCAATTACGTTACCGCTCCTGCGATAGTGCAGGGGCTACTACAGGTGTCTGACGGGAGGCCGGTTTGAACACAGTCTTTCAGTTGGCGATGTTGCGGAATGTATGTAGCTCGGGTGCGCTCCATGGTTGTTGGTCTGTTCATCGAGCTCGGCAGTTGGATTGCAAACGTCCCATCACCAATCAAGGTGACATCATCAGTGAAAGGCTGAGTTACACCGACTGCGTCATCTCGGTTGGTGATCAAAAGTTAGCAATCTTGTAGGTACACTCTGACCGTTACAGCTAACATAGCCACATCTAACAGACGCGTGAACAGAACTTTATCGTGAACCACTTAAGGTCAGAGGTTCTGAACAATAACGGGTTATGACTCGAATATGATCACACGTGACAATACGAAAAAGAGTAATACATAAAACTGGTAACTGTGGCTGCGTCCACCCCTAAGGAATCCTGTGTAAGTCCACATGGATTACGAAAGAGAAAAACACTCAAAACATGTAGAAAAGGCGGTCAATGGATCATTCAGAATATAGCTTAATCGATCGCCAGACATCTGGCTCAAATTCATCCAATTGACGACAGTCAGTCAATAACCTTTGTTAAATGTAACTAGTAAGCCCCTAATGTCGGCATTCAGCGAACCAACGTTGATTCAGAATAAGCGACCAGTTTTTGGTGCGGTCTTAGCTCGTATCTGCCCTTTTTGGCATTGGCCCACGACAGGATAGAGTCAGGGCACATTACGTGTTTTATTCTGGTTTGGACATTGTGTAAGGCACTCGTGATATAGCGTACACATCGTTTGTTCGGTACATCAGTGCCAATACTTCTCAATTCCTATCCACCGTACTCCAATCTGTTTGGCTGGAAACACGCAGAGGAACGGCAGATGTAGATGGTTGTAAATAAACAAACACAAGTTCCAGAGTCAGCGGAAAGTTAATGTGTATTTGTCAGCCCATTGATCAGTTCATCACTGATACGCAATGCAATGTCTACATTTTATCGAGAAAAACGTACTGTCACGTGTTTTGGAAGATTCAGACACAGCATGAATTCCTGAGAAGAGGCTAAAGGCTGAATCTCTAAAGCGCAGGTCAAAAGTTGAGTACATGGCAGAGTGAGCGAAACCCTGATAGAAGCAAGTGGCCAGGATGGACAATCATCAGTGAAACAGGTTAAAAGAGAACGCGGTAGAACTCCGTGTTGAAAAACGAGACGGAGAAAGACTTCTGTGTGAGAAAGGCGTTTAACAAGCCAAGAGGGTTGGAGAAGGTCAACAGGTGGATGAAAGCCCTTTAACGTGGTACAAATGGTCACATAATTCAAAGAAACGGAACAAATGATTCAGACGCTAACGCAATGAATTCCAACTCAGAGGTCCATAAATGTTAATGTTCCTAAGGGTTGAAGCAGCGGTCAATGGACCATTCACATTTGTACAAATGTTGGATCAGGCTTCTATCTAGACACCGATTAGTCTGTCGAGTCCTTGTGATTGATCGATCGTATCACACTCAGTTGTTCTCCCATGTCTGTCGTCGTAGTATGCGGTCTAACAACCAATAACCAAATAGCATAGCTCGACGGCGAAGATACGAAATATGACAATCGACATTGTGGACATGAAAACAAAAGGCTAAAGTCTATTGTTCTACATTCTCATCGACAAAGCGACACTGCGTGCAATTGTGCTCAGACAACTAGATCTCTATTTTGGACATTTTCACAGAATTGAAATTTTGAGACAACGCAAGGCATTATAGCGCCTTGAAGCCACACTTACCTTCCATTATGGTCTACAACACCCTCCACAAGGAGGAAAATAGGCGCCACAACAATAGCAATTCACAAGGTGGAAACTTCACCTGGGCGTAACCTATCGATCAACTATAACTTCATCCGATTACAAAATAGTTTACCTATCAAAGTAAAAGTGTGTGGAATACAGCATGGGCCATCAGAGCACGAAATGAGGGAAGGAATTTGCCAACTTTCGAGTCTTTAGAATCGTTCGAAACGTCGGGACTACAGATCGCCTGCAGCTGCAACTGATCACAAGATTTTCCAAAGTGTAGGTACCAGAAGCCTATATGAGATACCCCCATTAAGTACTCTACGAGAAATGGAAAGCGTCTTTGTCCAGGTCTGAAGTCAGAGACAGGTTGATATCGGTGTGATAAATCAACTCTATTCGTTGTTTGTCGCCAAGCAAAAAGTCGGTGCTTTGTCTAGCCAAGGGAAGTGAGAGGCAATATTTCCACACGAATTTGGAAGGTAAGAAAAATCAAAGGCGAAACTGTAAAACAAAGGGTTTCAGTAAGTTCAATCCTACTTTTTTTATATCAGTCGAAGTAAAACTGATGATTAATTGAACTGACAGATGGTAAAAAATGACTTGGTGAAAATTCACCCTAAACTTACTCCCTGCTGACTTGGGTAGTAGGGTTTGGATGACTGCAGACTGCGTTTCTCGATTTGAAGTAACGTAACACTGAAAACAATAGAGGGCAGCGGCTCTGACGGCAAGTTCCTGACGTTCTGTTACCATGGAAATCACCAGAATAGTGATTACTGGCTGAGGCGGTTCCGAAGGGGCGATCACTTGGGCCAGGTATTCTTGGTTGACTGGACATCCTCGAATAACATCGGCCAGCACATAGATTGCTTTGTTTAGAACATCCGCAGGAACCCCGACAGCCATGACGATGGCGCATAACGCAGATAACAAACCACACTTGTACATGCTAGTTTGGCAGAGACGGGTCTCCTGGTTTTGCTTGCGAGCAGACAACAGCGCACGTACAACCTGAAAAAGATTGCCCACGAGACGTCGGATTACAACAACTTATTCTACCGGGCTGTGTTTTGAATTTAAACCATATGGAAATATTCGAGCTGTATAGGAAAAGATGATAATGGGGATGACCCTTATTGTGATAAACAGCTCATAAGGAGTCCTACGTGGGGGGGGGGGGGATAAGTTTAACGAAGCTAACTTGAGAATTCTCATGCCTGGTCTTTGCAACTGTACAACACGACGCTCAATGTCTCACTAACCACAAACACATCCTCACAAGGTTGCAATTAAATCAGATTCGTAGTGAAAAACCTGAGATGTGACAATAACATAGTAAAGACGCTTTGGTCAACCAAACTGTTGTATCTTGTAGGTAGTGGTGGCCGAGCTATGGGGTTACGCCTGCACTGCGCCGGCCAGACTACGCGATAGGGAGAAGACAGAGAACTGCGGAAACGGCTGTATTGCCAGGACAAAAACGTACAGAGCCTCTGCGTAAATATATAGGATGACTAAACGGCCAAATATGGTCGTTCACTTGTTCGCTCCATACAGCCAATGGTGGTGTTCCGCACGTGAACAATCTCAGGCCCACTACACTGGTCGTGTGTTGCTGGGCCGTGTTTGGTGGGAGCCGCCGACTCACCTACTTTCCGGACGTGTCGAATCAATGGTGACCTTGGGGATGCGCCATTCTCTGCACATGTGCTTTTTCTTCTGTCTGGGCGCGCCCTGACACAAACCAAACTGGACAGAAAATATTCGACGGCATGGTGCTTTGGCCTTCAGCGTTTCCTTTCTAATCTATTACATAAATGCAAGATTTTGGGTGGAAGTTCAACGTGATAGTCCTCTTATAGCTTAGGCCTAACTATGCTGAAAAGCCAAGCGTAACTGTCCCCTAGGTTGGAATCACGCGCTTCTCCCGGACCGGATTTGATAAACTTGATAGATAAGGTATGATTGCATAGGAAATCTCAGTAGTGAAACGAATAGGGTACAGATGGATAAATGTGGTACCGCAACATCAATTTCAAACGAAAGTTCGGAGACTCCTCGTATCGTGGTCTTTAGTTCCATTCTTCTAAACATTCTGTTGCAATCGAAAAACGCGATGCGTCCCACGAGTAGCGGAGTAGTGGTGATTAATTCTTAAGTCTCGACAGTGTCTGCCCTCAATCCCCAACAACAGACGCACACGCACAAGCCTAAGCTGATTTTGACCTCGAACTGATGCGGATTTAGGCCAGGGTCAACAAATACTGAAAGGCCAGAAGGTACTCAACCACTGCTGCTTCGGTGCATGCCCCTCAGTAACTTGAAGTAGGATGACCTCACCACTGAAATCACAAAATCGGGAAAGTTTTTACGTCCTGAAAAGTGAACGTCTGGGAGTGGAAGCCCTTTGATTTAGTAATGTACTACTCATAAGGTTGCTGAAAATCCGTCGACAGCGAGGGGTTCAGCTGGGTTCCAGGTGAGTCTCTCGAAAAAACAAATTAGTTTGCAAACGAGTGTGTATTCGCCAATTTCTTTGATTTAGATTTATTGGGAGTAGTTGCAGGGTTTGTTGATTCTGCACTGGTGCGATTATTCTAGTCGATCCGAACCGAACACGAGACAAAGTTAAGGCTTATTCTTTTCAAAAAAATTTGTGCACAGGAACGGAAGAGTTAAAACCAAGAAAAAATGTACGAAAGTAATTTCCTTGTGGTAAGAGGCCAATGCGGCTGTTACATGCATGCGAAGCAGTGTTAACGGAGAGTACAAGAGGGAGGGTGAGTTTCTAAGGAGATGGAGCCTGAACTTGTACCTTAATGGCCAGATAACACTATTGAAGATCTTGATGTACCGCGTTTCTTTGGATAAAGCATAAGATAGGCAGGTGAAGTATCCCGAAAAAGGTAAACTAGGATCCAGACGGAACACACTAATCATGAGGTTAATGAAAACTCTGGCTAAGCAAGGATCTTCTGTTCTAAGGACAAGCATGTAGAGAACACACTTCTCGCGCTAGAACGAAAGACCGCCATACGAAACATGATACAGTGACGAATTCTTCGACGTATTCATTGTAATTCAGTTGGGCAGATAGTGGGAAAGATGCCACCCATTTGGCTGAATACTTTGAATATATACATTCGGGGACCAGATTTTGATGCTAGATCTAGTAAGTGTCATCTGATGATGTTATACATGTTAAAACAAATTACTATTAATGGAGATTCCGTCCTGCAAGCGAAGAAAACCTATGCCGAAAAGTCGAGAAGCATTGTACAACTGTCTCATCCTTACTGGGAACCATCAGCAATGCCCATCAAACGAAACTCAAAAGACCCACGACCTCCGGGCTAATAGTTTGATTAATTAACCGGTCGGCCAATAGCAGCGGATCAACGGTGTGATTGACTCGCACTTGGACAGGACATGGGAACCAAATCACGTGGTTGACTGTCTCCTCCAGCCACAACTTCTCAGATGAACGATTCACTCATCGGCGAATTTTATCCTTCTTCTGAGAGGCTGTTTCGTGAGATGCGTGCTGTTAATGATGAGGAAGAAATAGCTAGACAATGCTTCTTGACTTTTCAGCGTACATTAGATTCACTGACAGCACGAAATATGAATTGAGAAACTACCGAATCTTCTCAAGCTACAAACGGAAAATAATTATTCTTTCGAAACTTCCTTGAGGTGGAATGGCTGGGATGGTCAGTCTACTTTGTCTAGAAAATATAACTTTTCCTCCTGGCTTTCTGACTTCTAGTATCAACCTAACACAAGCAACCAGATGATGTGGGTAGAGGCTATCGGAGAGAACGTCACAAACGCGAGATTTAGCTGGGTTCCAGATGAGTCTCTCGCAAAACCAAATTTGTTTGCAAATGAGCGTATTTCACTAAGAACATTACTGACTTCAACTTGCACGAGCACTGCGGGTTTAAGGAATTTTATCGTGTGGACCGTGGCCTTGAAGGCCAGTCGCAAGCATGGTACTCAGACATTTTGTACTATCGTTCATAGCCTCACAATGTTCAGCTCACTTTAATTCAGTAGATTTTATAAGCTATGAGCCATTTACCAAGAGTATGTTGGTTCCAGCTGCCATCTTTCGGCCTCCAGAAAGTGGGAAATAAGCCAAGCACCGTAGACGATAGCGTAGTCAGTCACTGTTGAACCATCTTGGTTGTCTAAGGGAACATAAAACTGCGTAGCTACGTTTTGAATACGACAGGGGTGCCACACTGACCGGGTCATGTCTGTCATTGTCATTAACTGCCGACAGGTCAAACTCTGGCTACTCCACATCCATCAATACGACTGGATTTACTAATTAGCCTTCGTTACCGGGTCATAAACTGTCCACTTCCCGTTCACTTCCAATTACAACACAGTTGGACAAGAATATGTAGACAGTCCTGTGGAAGTACGAGGTAACTATTCTAATCAGCGTGACCTAAAAGAGTGATCGACTCGCAACCTCAGAAGAGTTCCTTCCCCCTACTTCGGTATTGAGCTTAATGTCCGAACCAGACCTGAACAGTGCTTGGGAAACGCCAACAGTCGAACACCAAAAATGTAGAGGCATAGAGGCAACGTTCCGACTCATAAGCATGAATATATATTCTACGCTTGGTAGGAAAGCTGGTGAAGCACTAGCGACACAGGCGTCGAAGGTTGGCAAAAGCCGCCCTGGTCTTCTCGATTCGATGAGTGACATCCTTCTCCAACCAGATCGTCGGGGGTTACACGCCTGCGTAATTGAGTTTACCTACCACGTTGATTGGTTCGCCTCCAAGCATGATGTATGAGTTTATCGAGATGACTCAGTGGTTAGAGAGCGCATTTACTGACCGGAAGGTCCGTGGTTCGAGTCCCATCTCTGCCTCTCGCCTTCCCTGTCTAGGATTGGGCAGCCTGGCAGTATCTCAGTCCTCCTGCTACCTTCTGGTGGCATGGCAGTTAGGCACCGAAGGGGTGCTACAACTGAACGACTCGTAGTAGCACGCTAAAATTCGCGGGTGTGAAGTGGTAGAATTATGTATCATCTAAAATAACTTTTCTACAAACGTCTCAGCACCAATCGCGTTAATGCGACTCAACCTCGCACTGAGCTACCTAAGCTACCCATATTCCACAACATCACCAAGCGAAAGACAATAAAGTCTGCGTACTCAACATCTGTGAACGAACGCCCCAATGTCTCAGAGGCAGGCAGAGAAGTTCCCAGCGGCATGTCAACAAAACGGATGAAGAGGAATGGTGATGCGAGACAGTCTTGTCTCAGGCCACTGAGAGTGGTGAACTCACGCGAAAGCTTACCGCATAACCAGACGCGCCCACAAAGGGTGGAGACCAGTGCCTTTATAAGATAGAAGCCTTGCTTGCGCAGTTATTCTAGGCCAAATTCACAGGGCTGCTAAATTCACTGCATATAGATAATCGAAACAAGGCAAAATAACTGTGACCCGATCTAAGCATAGATTATAGGTGAGTTGGGGATCGAAGGAAGTTTACTGTCACTTACGTGCAAGGCCAGCTGGAGATTGACAACCTTCTGTACGGACCAGTGCGACTGGTAGTCCGTAGCGTCACCCATCATTTTTGGTTCGAAGAGCGGAAGCAAGCGTTGAATAAAATTGTTTTCTCTGAATAATATTTGATTGGGAACATTGCCCTCCAGAAGCTGCCACATTAGACGAAGACAGTCTTCGACGACAACTCCGCCGTCGAGCAACCCTTCCGATTGAATAATGGCAAACAGACGCTCAAAGGTGTTTTCAAATGCAACAATTTTCTGGATATTCATATGGGATTTTGTTAGTTCGATCAGCAGTAAGAGAGTCTGTGAAATGAAAAGAATAATTGCATGAAAAGAGAACACATCCACCGGCGCAAAAGGGACTCTGTTTCTGACTAGAACGTGCAAGCAGGTGAAAAACAGACCCAATACCGTTGAGACTGTCGTTGAGTCGTGCGGCCAGTATAACGTGAAAAGCATCCCGATCGCAAAATTCCCCCCCCCCAGGAGTAACTTCCAGATAGCTTTGCTTGTTCCTTTCAAGTAATCCTCTAGAGCAAAAGCGTAACAGGTTGTCTTCATGGGGAAACCACCCGGATAGATCTTAGGAAGTATGTACTATTCTGATACCTAAGGCAGATTTATCCACTGAAGGACTTCTCCGAACCACGAACGGCCCAATCCAGTGTTGTCGAAGCGGAGAAGAATTACACCAATCAGATGAAAACGAGGTTCATCATCATCATCATCATCATCATATTAAAAGCCCTAGGGTGAAAAAAGAGAAGAGTGGGTGAGGGGGAGACCTAGTGATGGCCTATGTAAAGCATTCTGAGGTGCCTACACCTTCAACCGCATAATCAGACAATCTGGGAAGAAACTGACGGCACGAACGCCACTGACATCGATTAGCCACCATTTCTTGCAACGTCTCCAGCCAAGCACAGACGGAGTCAGGGGACCCCATCTTGGAAGGCGTACAACATCAACAACACCAAAACTCCTCGTGATCTCTTTCACGCCTTTCTGCCAAGTCATGTGCTGTCCACCTCGCGGTTAGCGCCATCCTAAAGGAGGCACGGAGAACAATACAAGTTTCGATAGACAGTGCTTCGGTATGCGTAGCACATGACGAAGCCATCGTAGTCAATGATGCTGGATGTTTTCCCGGATTGAAGTACCCGCGGCACAACCAAATACCCGTTTTCTAATTCCCTCATTAGTAGCACCCTGACGCCATCCAAAACTAGCCGCGCTTCTGAGGCATCGGTGGCCGAAAATCTGAAGACGCCTCACATTATCTGTACGCAGAAGCCATATCTTGCACCCGATCCCCAACACCAGACGTCGATGGCACTTCAGCATCGGGAAACCGGGTTATGAATCCCATAATCATTTGGAGGGACCCAATGTGTTTTCAGGCCATTAGTCAGACGTCTGATTAATATCAGTTTACATGGAACTTTAGTGTCCAAATTTTGCTTCCTGGTCTTTACTGGGAGAGTTTTTTTTTAGGTCGCGGGGACATTAGGGGTGGTAGCTCATATTCAAGCCGAATCCCAGCGGGTTGGAGTAACGCAGAATTAGTTTGTGGAGTAGCTTCTGTTTGGTGGAGCTCAGGGCGGACATTGCTGAACACGCAGCACCACAGATGAAGCTACTTGTTTTTAACCAAGAAGGACGGTAGCGAATATGACCGTCCTATAAAGTCTAGAAATTATTGAGATCTGCCTAGTCATTAGAATACTTCAAACGAAAAAAATACAGAACTTACATCGTTTCTGAGTGCCTCTCGCGGGTCGGATAGCAGGTCCACTAGTCTTGATATTGCTCTCGGACATTGGAGGATAACCTCTTGTGTACCCTTGAGTTGGTTGGTCAGTAGAAGAGTGAGGAGGCGGAGGGTGTTGCGGCGGACGTGTAATTCGTAGGCCTGTAAGATAACACAGAAGAGACAGGGAAATTGTCACGTCCACACCGCGACCCACTTCAAGAACGCGGGACGATTCAGCAAACAGACCAGCGACAAACTTTGGAAATCCCGAAGGAAAAAATTAAAAGTGGAGGGGAAAGGACAGGCAGCATCTACCTACAATTCCTCACTCAGATAACCTAGACAATAAGTAGCAACAAGAGTGCCACTGCTTTCGTATTTTTTCACGCTTTCCTGTCAAGTCATAGAATGTCCGACTCGCAGTTCGTCATTCTAAATGAGCCACGGAGGACAACACCCATCTAGGCAACCTATTAGTCGGTAACACACAGCGCGGCCGAGCTGGTTTTTTCGCCAATAAAGTATCCCCTGCACAAAAATCACCCGTTTTCTATGTACCTCATTACGAATTCGTCGACACCATCCACAACCAGCAACTCTCCTAAGGTGCTAGCGGTAAAAAAACGACTACGCCACAGATTATCTGCTGCAGACGTCTCTCACGCATACAACACAGCTCTTGCTGTAAATCGATACAAACGATTCCTGAGGTCGCGATATCTCCTTTTGATGCCACTGAGCATCTCATGGTCGATGAAGTGCTGAAGTGTAGTCAATGTAGCTTATGTCTGGTCGAAATACCGTTTAGACTGTGGATGTTACCGTAAGAAAAGTCAGTGACGTCAAAGGCGGAATTCCTATTTATACCTCTGAATTACTACGCTCGCTGGGGGTACGTTTTTGAAGGTGAGTATAACCCTTTATTCTCTCATTGTCCGGGTATGCCGAAATGTCATGTATATCAAGTCAGGTCTTATTTTTACTTGATATCTGAGACATTGTAGTACTTGAGGCTATTACTGACAACAGGCTTCTGCGGAACGGTTGCGAGTAAAATGGAACAACCTGTGGGTGGTTCAATTTTTCTCGATTTCAAATATTCCAACCTTTTGGACCCACCAAACTTCTGTCTGAACATACCCACAGTCATTCTGATACCAAACGATGCGTCCGATTGAACTGTGGTTGCGATCGGGCGTGAGGCAAAACACGGTAATCAAAGTTGCGGTGCATCCTTTACAATAAAAGATGCGCCGCAACTTTGATAACCGTGTCAGAGGGGAAAACCATGAATGGACCGTCTTCAGATCAAAACGGCTCAGTAGACCTTAAAGTACAGTAGTAGTTTATAACATGGGTTATGGTGGTTAAAAGTAACGCCTCCCAGTGTACACATACAGTGATGCCGAAAACCAGAAGTGAATAGAATAGAGCAGATCTGCCGAGTGACAGCGAATCGCCTGCGCGCGCAGGCGGTACGTGCTTTCAAATCAATTCACTGTAATGTTTCAGAACCTGGTTCCATAAATGGTAGGATTGCGATTAAAGCCCGCTTTTGCGAGGTTAATCCTTCCGACAAAAGCCTCCAGCGAATAAATGCGAGGCTGGCGAACAAAATAACATGGATACATACTTACATCCACAAATCCAAAGATCAATGAAACGTTTTCCGGTTGTTTTATGAATATTTCCGTGAACTGACTTCCTAAATCCGCTGGCACATTCACCAGTTCATGCGCACCACCTGAAATGGAAAACTATTAGGACGGAAAGGGGTCTGACAATCTTCAGCGTCGCCGTCGTTCATGACAGAATAGAGTGCCTCCAGGCTATAAAAAACTGAGTCTGCATCTTCACTGAAAGCAAAATGAGTATACATATATGTTCAATACCGATCGCCGCGGAGAGCATCAAGAAATACTGGCATTGCTTTTGTGCCTACCTCCAGGCGATATTTCTACAGGCATGCAAGCAAATTACCAGACTGAGCTTACCTTCGATAGTGATTTGAGGGTGCGTAAGGCATCCCGCTTGTCTTCAGTTCGTGTGGCAGATTGAAATCGGTCAACGAGTTTCTCGACCTAGAGAATGGATGAGACACTACCAGTCAAACATACGATATCAGATCCACCATCTTCGTCTTGTTCGGAATCGGCGGACAGGTACCTCTTAATTATGTTCATATCTGCAACAACCACAAAACGTGTCGAACGGGATCAGCTAATGACCCGAAGTCCGAATGGGCATCCCTTGAAAAGTCGTCGTTCTGATTGGTTCATGGACACACGAGCTAGTATCCACGGCTTCACCGACTGATACCATCTAGACTTGCGCCTAGATGGTGTTCTTGCCTTTCGGGGTCTTCCGTTCACCTAAAGGGTAAAAACGAGAAAGGGTTTTGCGCTCATGTTAAACTTCTCAACGCGGAGCAGTGAGCTTCCCGGCAAAGTTAGCGTCTTGCGGACTGGACCGGGCTGTGAGTGTCTCAAGACCATATTGGCTCAATGCTAGGATGGTAGATTACCGGTGCGGAGCTACAAATGGCCATTCCTTGCTTGTTCCACTTACGTTCCTAGTGCCCTCGACATTGCGAACGCGACCAGCAAGGTATCAACGACGGTACGGCCAATTATACCGAAGCCAAGTACCACACCCAGTGGATTGGTGTCAAGTAATATGGTTTTGTGGTATAGTGTAGCGTAAGTTCACAGAATATATCGTCGAATGAACGCAAAATAACCGGAGAGGTGTCTCCGGTGAGTGGTAGACAAGAATAAGTCACTGCTGTGTAGCTTGAAGACAGCGATGCCCAACGCCGCTGCAGATTTTGCCTTTTTCCCATGTATTGCAGACCTTCAAGACGGGGATTATTATTCTTAGGGAGGAAACTCTTCCTATAAAGAAGTTTGGCTTGCCTCGTCTAAGAGAATGGTACTTTGTAGGGAATTGAGCCAGTTTGAGGTTCAT